CCCCGCCCATGTGTGTGGAAACCCTGCTTGACGGAAGAGGAAGGAAGCTGCTCTGCTATGTCCTGCCCCATTTAGACCTCCTCCAAGTGGCAGTGTGCTTCCTGAGACTACAACTCCCAGCATGCTTAGCCTCAGGCCTGGCTACACATGCTCAGTAACTTTTAAGGCCCACTTCTGTTAACTACTAGGGACTTCAGAGAGGAAGGGCAGTTGGCGTTGCTAGGGGCAACGACCTGAGGCCTTCAGGCTGAGTGAGAACCAGGGCTGATTTAGAGTCTGGGCCAGGGGTAGGCCTGAGCTCTAAATGAGGACATTTGGGTGGAAATTGGGATTTCTTCTGTTGTGATTGAGATGTCCTAGTTGAAACTAGTGGGATTTGGGGAGATCCATCCATAGTTAGTCTTTAGTTCCAGTAGTGTGTTGTTTTTTTTCAAGACCCTAGGACTCTACTTCAGGGAGAGGATTTTTTGTCTGCACTCAGATTTCCTGGGTCATGATTACTTCTGAGTTGGGTCTGACAGGCCTGTAGGATGTTAGCTGAGGAAACATCCAGGACAGGCAATAGGTCCCATCAGAAACCAGGGGCTCAGAGATCAGGCAAAGGGTAGTACTAGATGTAAAGTGGAAGTACATCTTAGTTGGATTCTGTTGCCCTAGGAACAGTTATGGAGGCTAGAAGTGAGGAAGTGAAGTAGGTTCCCTGAGAATCCAGAGTGGGAGAAGAGACTATGTGTTTATCTGGTGAAGAACTAGGCAATGGGATAAGGATTACGGAAAATAACTTTCTTTGCCATTAGTTGGGAGTTTGTAGGTAAGGCTTGGCTCTGATGTCTGTAGGGTCTGATAGTATTGGCTGACTTTTCCTAGGATTCTGGGAAAAGACCTTATTGGGGAAACATTGGACCCACAGATATCTCTTGGTACCAACAGGTCTCCCCGAGAGGGCCCTGCCCAGTCGGAGAGAGGGATGGACAGCCAGAAGCAGCCTGGTGAGGATAAAGATTCAGAACCGGCAGGTAAGTAGGACTGATTCTGTGTTTGCTGATGGCTTTTGGCTCTTCATGGGCAACCTTTTATTTCTGGTCCTGGTACAAGGATGTGAGCTAAGTCTGTGTAATAGATAGTTAAGTGAAGAATTTTGTTTTTTGAGATAAAGAGCTTTGGATAATCTCATCAGTCTGGTACATGGACTTAGTAGTAAATCAGGCTGACACATGCGTCTCTGTTCATTCAGCCGATGGACCTACGGCCTCTGAGGATCCAGGAGCTCCTGAGCCAGACCTTCCCAATCCACATGTGGGGGAGGTCTCTGACCCCAGTTCTGGGAGTACCAGGCTTCAGGAGCCTCCCCGGGACTGCAGGTAACTTACTTGAAAGATAATGGGGACGTACGGGCATGTGAGGATTTGATTTGAGAGTCTAGGGCTTTAAGGAAGAGGATTTAGAAGTGTGGATGTGCCAAGTCATAGGGTTGGCAGGTTCTGGCGCAGTGCTGATGCTTGTGTGTCCACAGTGGGGCTCCAGTGCGGCGTTGTGCTCTCTGTAACTGCGGGGAGCCCAGTTTGCACGGGCAACGGGAACTACGGCGCTTTGAGTTGCCATTTGATTGGCCTCAGTCTCCAGTGGTGGCCCCTGGCGGGAATGCAGGGGCCAATGAGGCAGTGCTGCCCAGTGAGGACCTGTCACAAATTGGTTTCCCTGAGGGCCTTACACCTGCCCACCTAGGAGAACCTGGAGGTAAGTGGCAGGAAGTGGGAGGAAACAAGGTAGGGAGGGGCTGGGTCATCCTGAGCTGGCTGTCACCTTGTTAACTGCGCTCTATTTCCTCTTCCCACCTGAAAAGGGTCCTGCTGGGCACACTATTGGTGTGCTGCATGGTCAGCAGGTGTGTGGGGACAGGATGGCCCAGAACTATTTGGTGTGGACAAGGCCATCTTCTCAGGGATCTCACAGGTAGGCCAAGGCCAGGGGATTGTGTAGGTGAAGGCAGGGCTGGGCTTGCTGAGGATGGGCAGGGCTGGTGGGCTTCTGAGAGCCAGGGTAGGATGAGAAAAACAGTGGGCATTCCAGGGCAGAGCCTAAACTGTTTCTCTGGAAAAACCTGGCTGGCATTGAGGCTTTGTCTCCATCTTTGGCAGCGCTGCTCCCACTGCACCAGGCTCGGTGCCTCCATCCCTTGCCGCTCACCCGGATGTCCACGGCTTTACCATTTCCCCTGCGCGACTGCCAGCGGTTCCTTCTTATCCATGAAAACACTGCAGCTGCTATGCCCGGAGCACAGTGAGGGAGCTGCACATCTGGGTGCGAAGTCCTATCCTTTAGACATAGGGCAAATGAGAGGCCAAGTGTGCCTTGAAATTTGGTACTCTGCAGAGCCCTTGTCAAAATCTATAATTGTATCCTGTCAGTCTGGCCCGCTAAATTAGATGTGAACTTTGTGAGTGCAGGGCCTTTCCTGTCTCATTTTCCATGGTGTGTGTGGCGCCTAGAAGAGTACCTGGCATATACTGGAGAGGCACGCAGTAGCTATTTGTTCATTCTGTGTCCATGGAATACCTGTTATGTATATGGTACTGTGCCTAGTTGTGCCAGAAGAAATCCGTAGCTAATCTGTGCTGTCTTTCCCTTCCCACTGCAGAGGAGGCTCGCTGTGCAGTATGTGAGGGGCCAGGGGAGTTGCATGATTTATTCTTCTGTACCAGCTGTGGGCATCACTATCATGGGGCCTGCTTGGACACTGCTCTGACTGCCCGCAAGCGTGCTGGCTGGCAGTGCCCTGAATGCAAAGTGTGCCAAGCCTGCAGGTAAGAATAAGAGGGCAGGAGGGAAGCCTTAGGTGAAGTACAGGTTAGGGTTGAAAATGGGGGTGGGGGAACAAGGACCCTGTAATGTACTGTGTGCTCTGTAGGAAACCTGGGAATGACTCTAAGATGTTGGTCTGTGAGACATGTGACAAAGGGTATCATACCTTCTGCTTAAAACCACCCATGGAGGAACTGCCTGCTCACTCCTGGAAGTGTAAGGTGAGTGTCTCTTGATTCTGCCTCATATAGCACCTTGAGTTTCCCTGCATTTACCAGTCCTGTATTGTCCTCCAGTCTCTGCTGTTGGTCTGATCAATGCCTGTTTTGCCCACTTCTTTCTACTAGGCATGCCGGGTATGCCGGGCCTGTGGGGCAGGCTCATCAGAGCTGAATCCCAACTCTGAGTGGTTTGAGAACTACTCGCTCTGTCACCGCTGCCACAAAGCCCAGGAAGGTCAGCCTGTCAGTTCTGTTGCTGAGCATCCCTCTGTGTGTAGCAAGTAAGTAGTGTGACTGGTTGAGATACAAATGGGGGTCAGAAGGACTGAGACTGGCAGGGACTTTTAGAGGAGAGCTCTAAGGTGGGCAGTAGAATCCGAAGTATTCATGGCTCACCCCAGGTTACTTACTTTCTATCTAGTTGTTGTTTACTGATGAGAGCCACAGTGCCTGCTCCCCTGTACCCTCTGCAGATTTTCACCCCCAGAGCCTGGCGATATCCCCACTGATGGGCCTGATGGTCTGTACGTTGCATGCCAAGGGCAGCCAAAGGGTGGGCACGTGACCTCTATGCAACCCAAGGAACTGGGGCCCCTGCAATGTGAAGCCAAACCACTAGGTGAGTAGGGTTTGAGGGTCTGTGAAGTTAATCCTTTTTTATTCTCTGGCAAGAGACAGCTTTGCTTTGCCTCAGTCCTGCACTTTCTGCGGAGTAGATCTGAGCTAGGTAGGAATATAGTATGTTGTGTCTGCAGGGAGAGCAGGGGCCCAAGCTGAGCCCCAGTCGGAGGCCCCACTAAATGAGGAAATGCCACTGCTACCCCTACCTGAGGAGTCGCCCCTGTCCCCACCACCTGAGGAGTCACCCACATCCCCACCACCCGAGGCCTCACGCCTGTCCCCGCCACCTGAGGAGTCACCTGCATCCCCACCGCCTGAGGAATCATGCTTGTCCCCGATGCCTGAAGAGTCACCCCTCTCTCCACCACCTGAGGCGTCTCCTCTGTCTCCCCCACCCGAATCATCACCTTTTTCTCCACTGGAGGAGTCGTCCTTCTCTCCACCGGAAGGGTTGCCTGCATCTCCTGCACTTGAGACGCCCCTGTCCCCACCACCAGAGGCATCACCCCTGTCTCCACCATTTGAAGAGTCTCCCCTGTCTCCTCCTCCTGAGGAATTGCCCACTTCTCCACCACCTGAAGCATCTCGCGTGTCCCCGCCACCTGAAGAGTCGCCCATGTCCCCTCCACCTGAAGAGTCGCCCATGTCTCCACCACCTGAGGCGTCTCGTCTGTTCCCACCATTTGAAGAGTCTCCTCTGTCCCCTCCACCTGAGGACTCTCCCTTGTCCCCACCTCCTGAGGCCTCACGCCTGTCCCCACCCCCTGAAGACTCACCCATGTCCCCACTGCCCGAAGACTCGCCTACGTCCCCCCCACCTGAGGTGTCACGTCTGCCTCCACCCCCTGAGGAATCTCCTCTGTCTCCACCCCCTGAGGAATCTCCCACATCACCTCCACCTGAAGCTTCGCGCCTGTCCCCACCACCTGAGGACTCCCCCACATCCGCACCATCTGAAGACTCACGTGCTTCACCACCACCAGAGGACTCGCTCATGTCCCTACCGCTGGAGGAGTCACCCCTGTCACCACTGCCTGAAGAGCTGAGACTCTGCCCCCAGCCTGAGGAGCCACGCCTGTCCCCCCAGCCTGAGGAGCCTCAACTCTGCCCCCAGCCTGAGGAGCTGCACCTGTCTTCGGGGCCTGAGGAGCCATGCCTGTCCTCTGCGCTTGAGAAGCCAAGTCTGTCCTCTCAGCCTGAGGAGCCACGCCTGTCCCCTGTGCCTGAGGAACCACACTTGTCCCCCCAGCCTGAGGAACTTCACTTGTCCCCTCAACCTGAGGAATTACACCTGTCCCCTCAGGCTAAAGAGCCCCACTTGTCCCCCATGCCTGAGGAACCATGCCTGTTCCCCCGGCCTGAGTTACCGTGTGGGTCCCTTCAGCCTGAAGAGCCTCCTGAGGCGCCAGGCCAGTGCCCTCCATCTGAGGAGTTGCCCTTGTTCCCCCAACCTGGGGAGCCACCCTTATCCCCTTTGCTTGGAGAGCCGGCCCTGTCTGAGCCTGGGGAACCACCTCTATCTCCTCTACCTGAGGAGCTGCCGTTGTCTCCATCAGGAGAGCCGTCCTTGTCACCTCAGCTGATGCCACCAGGTAAGGGGATATTGGTGCCTCCTTTCCCTGGGACAATCTTAACTCTTTATGGTACATGTAATCTAAGAGCCCCTTTTTTTTTTCTCTCCCTCTCAGATCCTCTTCCTCCTCCACTCTCACCCATTATCCCAGCCGCGGCCCCGCCATCTCTGTCTCCTCTGGGGGAGTTAGAGTACCCCTTTGGTGCCAAAGGGGACAGTGACCCTGAGTCGCCACTGGCTGCCCCCATCCTAGAGACACCCATCAGCCCTCCTCCAGAAGCTAACTGCACTGACCCTGAGCCTGTGCCCCCGATGATCCTTCCCCCATCTCCGGGTTCCTCGGTGGAACTTGCTTCTCCCATCTTGATGGAGCCCCTCCCCCCACAGTGTTCTCCGCTCCTTCAGCATTCCTTACCTCCCCCAAGCGCCTCTCCTTCCCAGTGTTCCCCTCCTGCTCTGCCACTGTCTGTTCCCTCCCCATTGAGTCCCATGGGGAAGGCAGTGGAGGTCTCAGACGAGGCTGAGCCACATGAGATGGAGACTGAGAAAGGCCCAGAACCTGAATGCCCAGCCTTGGAACCCAGTGCCACCAGCCCTCTCCCCTCCCCTATGGGGGATCTGTCTTGTCCTGCCCCCAGCCCTGCCCCAGCCCTGGACGACTTCTCTGGCTTGGAGGAAGACATAGCCCCTCTCGATGGGACTGATGCTCCTGGTTCACAGCCAGAGGCTGGACAGACCCCTGGCAGCTTGGCTAGTGAATTTAAAGGTTCCCCTGTGCTCCTTGACCCAGAGGAGCTGGCTCCTGTGACCCCTATGGAGGTCTATGGCCCAGAATGCAAGCAGGCAGAGCAGGGATCACCCTGTGAAGAGCAGGAGGAGCCCCGAGCACCAGTGGCCCCCATACCACCCACTCTCATCAAATCCGACATTGTAAATGAGATCTCTAATCTGAGCCAGGGTGATGCCAGTGCCAGTTTTCCTTGTTCAGAGCCCCTGCTGGGCTCTCCTGACCCCGAGGGGGGCGGCTCTCTGTCCATGGAGCTGGGGGTATCTACAGATGTTAGTCCAGTCCGAGATGAGGGCTCCCTGCGGCTCTGTACCGACTCACTGCCGGAGACTGATGACTCACTGTTGTGTGATGCTGGGACAGCTATCAGTGGAGGCAAAGCTGAGGGGGACAAGGGGCGGCGGCGCAGCTCCCCAGCCCGTTCCCGAATCAAACAGGTGAGGAGCTGTCTAGCCCCTGGATGTGGTCAAGGTTATGTGATTGTGAGAAGTATAGTTGTGATACCTTCACACTTGCTTTACTGAATTCCACACTGACAGTGATCCTCTAGTCCAACTTTTCACTTTTCTAAAGTGAATACTGATACGTGGAGGAGACAAAGGATTTACCCAGTTTTTGGTCACTTGGAAGTAGGACCAGAAACTTGAGTAGCTCTCAAAGTCACTATTTTTTCTCCTTGTACTATCTAAACCTCTCTTCTTGGAGAGGAGAATGGGTCTGGGTCTCAATGCCACTGCTTGTTGATGATATTTGGGGGCTTGGCTTTTTTCCCCTGTGCTGAGTGGGACTCTTGGACTTCATAACCTATCATACTCTGTCCGTCTCCTTTTTTCCCTCCAAGCCTGGGGATCTAACATACTGGACCTTGACCTGCTTTTGTAATCCTTCTCTTCCCTCACCCAGGGTCGTAGCAGTAGTTTCCCGGGAAGACGCCGGCCTCGTGGAGGAGCACATGGAGGACGTGGGAGGGGACGGGCCCGGCTAAAATCAACCACTTCTTCCATTGAGACTCTGGTAGTAAGGAGAGGCCTCCTATCCTCCTAGAATGCCTTTCTTGGCCCCTTCAATATTAAACATCCTTTGAATACTGCCAGTTCCCTGCATGCTTGTTAGCCTAGGGCAGTGATGGCAAACCTTTTAGAGCTTTCAATGATACAAACAGCCTGCTATGGCATGAGTGCCATAGGATCACCACCACTGGCTTAGGACCTATCTGGCTAAGTTTATGCTCCTGTCTGGTTGGCCTCCAGGCTTCTCTGACATCTCTGCCATTGAACTAAGACCTACTTTGGAAGTTGGGAGTTTTCTTCTGTCTCATAGTCCTGGGGTTAGGCCTTTATCTCAGTCAGGGGTTCATAACTCCTTCCCCCATACCAAAGAGGAAGAAGCAGATTAGTTCAGGCATATTCATCTTTCCCACTTTCCACAACTCTCTGTTTATAAGGTGGCTGATATTGATAGCTCTCCCAGTAAGGAAGAGGAAGAAGACGATGACGACACCATGCAAAATACTGTGGTTCTCTTCTCCAACACAGACAAATTTGTTCTAATGCAGGTACCGTACTTGGGGTAGTCCCAGCCTCAGCTCTGAGAGTGGCATACTGAATATTGAATGTGTGTAATTTGGTTGGAAGGTAATGGGGAAAACCAAGAACCAAGTTGACATACCGAGCTAATGAGAAAGGGGACACTTTAGCAGGATTGAATCAGTTCTGTGTAGCAGTGAGAAAGGTAGAAATGGTCTTTGCCAGTGGGCATGATGGTGCATGCCTGTAATATCAAGCACTCTGGGAGACTGAGGTGGGGGTGTGTGTGTGTGTGTGTCTCAAGTTTGAGCCTAGCTCAGGTAACTTTGTGACTTAACAAGAACTTATCTCAAAATAAAAATAACTATAGGCCGGGGATTTAGCTCAGTGGTTCCACCGCCTGCCTCACAAGCGCAAGGTCCTGAGTTTGATCCCTGGTACCAAAATATAAAATAAAATAAATAAAAATACCTATAATAGAAATATAAAAAGAGCCGGGGATGTAGCTTAGTGCAAAGGGCCTGGGTTAAATCCCCAGTATTGCCAAAAAAAGAAGTCACTGCCCTATTGAGGCTTGTACTCTAGTGAGCTTTTATATGTTCTCACCTGAATAATCTTGAAGCTAAAAGAATTTGGTCATATATATGACTCTCACTCAACCATTCTTTTTTTTTTTAGTTTTTTTGAGACAAGGTCTCAATACATAGTTCAGGCTGGCCTTGAACTCACTATGTAGCCCAGGCTGGCCTCAAACTTGCAACAATCCTCCTGCCTCAGCCTCCCAAGTGGTGGGGTTACAGGCATGCACCACCACGCCTGGCTTCAACCATTCTTTACCCCATCTTATCTTCCTGTAATTTCTTCGTACCTTTACCTATATCAGACAAATTCAAGTTATTGTTGGATGAGCAAGACCTGCTAGGGAAGCTCATTTCCTGTAGGCTGAATAGGAGAAGCAGATCTCATGTTCTGAACAGGCCTTTTAAATGTTTGAATTGCTGTGGGATGGGCTTCTGACTTCCTGTTGGCCTTGTCTCAGATTAGTGTTGTAGTTGGCTGGGACTGGGTAAGATGAGGAGACCTGGTTGGACATTGAAGTTTCTGTTTCCTCAGGACATGTGTGTGGTATGTGGCAGCTTTGGCCGGGGAGCAGAGGGCCATCTCCTGGCTTGTTCACAGTGCTCTCAGTGCTATCACCCTTACTGTGTTAACAGCAAGGTAAGTTCAGGGCCACAGAGGTGTAGGATGGGGAACAGAGTCAATTTTTTCTTTCTTTTTTGTGTATTTTGTTTTCCTGCTCTTGCCTGTCCTCCAGTTCTTTCTTACCCTATGTCTCTGTCCTGGTCACACTACCTCTTTTTTTTTTTTTTGGTATCGGAAATTGAACTCAGGGCCTCTTGATTGCCAGGCAGGTGCTGTGCTACTGAGCTACATCCCCGGCCCTACACTACCTTTTAAAGTGGCACTGCTCCTGGAAGTTGTTCATCAGTCAGCAGTAGCTGTCAGACTTATCTCGAGGAAAAGTACTTAAAACATGGCAGACTTTATAGTTTCTTTGTGGTAGAACAAAACTTGTTGGTATAATTCAATCACATAAATGTTGAAAACTTTATCAGTAGAAAACATGGTATAGTTTGGAGATAGAACATAAAACCATTAGTACATAATCCACAGAGAGAATACACTATTTTTGACCTAAGCATGATTTAGGGTTTTAGAGTGGTTTTTTTTTTTTTTTTTTTTGTACCGGGGATCGAACTCAGGATGTTGCGCTTGTGAGGCAGGCAGCAGAACCACAGAGCTAAATCCCCGGCCCTAGAGTTTTTAATAATACTAATTTGTAATTTAATCCACTGCTAATATTTACTAACTTGTATCAGTAACAGGTTCTAAATGTTCAAGAAAAACTGAGGGGAGCTCAACCTAATTCTGTCCACAGTCTTCTTTGGGGCTTGTCTAGTGAACAGTTGCTATTCCACTTTTGTATAAAGGCAGTGATGCTGGGTGTGGTGGTGCACACCTATGATCCCAGCACTTGGGAGGCTGAGGCAGGAGGATTGCCATGAGTTCAAGACCAGCCTGGGCTACATATTGTATTCAAGGCCAGCCTGAACTACATGGTGACACTCTGTCTCAACCCCCCCCCCCCCCCCGCAAAAAAAGCAAGAGCTAGTGAGGCTGTTCTCTGGTTGGTAGAGGTTCCTGGGAGCTACTATTTTGGGGGTGAGAGTGCTCTGTATAAGCTTTTCTGCTCAAGTAGAGATCAGGCCTGTGCACTGGGGTTCTTCCATCCTTAACCGTTTAAGTCTTCTTCCCCCCTCACACCCTGAGGATTTTATCTGTTGCACCAGATCACCAAGGTGATGCTGCTGAAGGGCTGGCGTTGTGTGGAATGTATCGTGTGTGAGGTGTGCGGCCAGGCCTCCGACCCTTCACGCCTGCTGCTCTGTGATGACTGTGACATTAGCTACCACACATACTGCCTGGACCCCCCACTACTCACCGTGCCTAAGGGCGGCTGGAAGTGCAAGTGGTAAGGAGACTTGTTCTTCCAAGGAGCCTGGGCCCTGAAGAGATAGGGCATGTGGGCCTGAGATGTTAAAGTGAATGTGATGTAGAATATGTGACAGGCTGCATTTAGGAGACCAGGCTGCTTGTCTGGCTCTCAGAGGGGGTGCCTCTGGGTACTTTGGCAAGGTTAGGTGCTGAGGATTTGTCTTTCTGCTCCTACCAGGTGTGTGTCTTGTATGCAGTGTGGGGCTGCCTCCCCTGGCTTCCACTGTGAGTGGCAGAATAGTTACACCCACTGTGGGCCCTGTGCTAGCCTGGTGACTTGTCCTATCTGTCACTCTCCATATGTGGAAGAGGACTTGCTGATCCAGTGCCGCCACTGTGAACGGTGAGAGTATCCCTTCTCCTTATATTGGCCCTCCTTCCCTGTGTCAGCCTGGTGTTGCCTGCATGCTCATCTCATCTTCATTCTCCCAGGTGGATGCATGCTGGCTGTGAGAGCCTCTTCACCGAGGATGATGTGGAACAGGCGGCCGATGAGGGCTTTGACTGTGTTTCCTGCCAGCCCTATGTGGTAAAGCCTGTGGGTGAGTACAGAGTGCTGGGAAGGGCAAGGAGGAGACAAGGTAAGTGTGCCTTGCTTTTGGACAGTGCCCTAAGTCATCCTGGATTATCCTTTCTACAGCACCAGTTGCCCCTCCAGAATTGGTGCCCATGAAGATGAAAGAGCCAGGTGAGTCACCAGAAGTTTGAATGCCAAAGCCAGATAAGATATATTGTGTAGTCTACCTCCAACCCCCTTCTTCATCTCTTCATTTTAAGAGGAGGATACTAAGACCCAGGGAGGTTGAGTGACCTGCCCAAGGTCACCTAGTAAGTTAGTGGCAAAGTTATGACTAGATCCAAGGTCTCCAGTTTTCTAGACACTGTGCCTTTCATGAGTCAACATCATCTCTTGACTGCCAGATGTCCGACAGCACAACTCTTTCTTCTCAGCGAAGGAGCCTGGGGCCATCTCCTCCGTTATGATATGGGTATTCCTGGCATCTGGGGCACTGTGTGCCAGCTTATTTTGCAAGTAGAAGCCCTCCATGAACCTGTCAGAATCTGTTTGGTGAACTTGGGGTTAATCCTAAGCATGGCCAGGCTTCTGTAGTAGCCATTCCCTTTCTGAATTCCCTGGGTCACTGATGGAGAACTGAGGTCTGTATCCCTTGGTGGCCTGTTTTTCCCGGCCCTCAGACCCCAAGCTGGACTTCCTTTGTTACTGCTTTTGTCCCATCTGGTGATGTAGGTTGAAACTTGGACTTCTGGTTTCCCTTGGGCCTCTTATCCTGGCATCACACAATCTTCTCCCTTGTCCAGAGCCCCAGTACTTTCGCTTTGAGGGAGTATGGCTGACAGAAACTGGCATGGCTGTGCTGCGTCACCTGACCATGTCACCACTGCACAAGCGGCGTCAGCGGCGAGGACGGTTGGGCCTCCCAGGCGAGGCAGGACTGGAGGGATCTGAGCCCTCAGATGCCCTTGGCCCTGATGACAAGAAGGATGCAGACCTGGACACTGAGGAGCTGCTCAAGGGTGAAGGTTGGGCTGGGGAATCTCAGGGAGAGGGAAAATAGTGGGCTGGCACCTGTGGAAATTGGGATTTGAGTGGGGGCTACGTTGCCACTCTCAGTCACCTTCCAGCACTGCTGGTATTGTCCACGTGGCTCTTAAGGCAAGGTACTGGGCAATTTGTACAGCAAGCTGACAAGGGTGAAAGGGCCCACACCCCTGATTCTTTCTTTTATGTTACCACATGCAGGTGGAGTGGAGCACATGGAGTGTGAGATTAAACTGGAGGGCCCTGCTAGCCCTGATGTGGAACCTGGCAAAGAAGAGACCGAAGAAAGCAAAAAACGCAAGCGCAAGCCTTATCGGCCTGGTGAGGCCCTCGTGTGGGGAGCTGGGTGGTGAGGGACAGCTCACCAGGTCCCCAGTGGCTTCTCATCCTCAGCTCCACCTCCTCATAGGTATTGGTGGTTTCATGGTGCGACAGCGGAAATCCCATACACGTGTGAAAAAGGGGCCTGCTGCACAGGCGGAGGTGTTGAGTGGGGATGGGCAGCCCGACGAGGGTGAGACGGGTGAGGGCACCAATGGGGCCTGGGAGAAGGTGGGGATCACAGCATCCACAGAGCAGTGCCAGGGAGGACTGGGCCGGGGGCTCACTGCAAGGGCTATGAGAATGGCAGCCTCAGCTGGTTTGGGGAAGAGAGTAACAGAGTGTTGCCTGGTGGAGTTTGGGGCAGCATGTCCAGTATCCCAGAGACCCATAGCTCCCCACACTATTCTGTCCACAGTGATGCCTACTGATCTGCCTGCAGAGGGCTCCATGGAACAGGGCCTCGCTGATGGGGATGAGAAAAAGAAGCAACAGCGGCGGGGGCGCAAGAAGAGCAAACTAGAGGACATGTTCCCTGCTTACCTGCAGGTGAGTCTCGGACTCTGAGAGGTGAAGGAGGTGTTTATGCCTACAGGGCATCAAGAAGCTGTTTCTTCTGACTCCTTTCTCAGGAAGCCTTCTTCGGGAAGGAGCTGCTGGATCTGAGCCGGAAAGCCCTTTTTGGAGTTGGGATGGGCCGACCGAGCTTTGGACTAGGAACCCCAAAAACCCGGGGAGATGGAGGCTCAGAAAGGAAGGAGCTCCCCTTCTCGCAGAAGGGTTAGTGATGTCCAACTTTCCTCTTGCTTAGAAACTGACGAGAGTGTCTGATGCAAAGGGAGTAGTCTGCAGTTATTAAGGGTAGGCCAAGGGTCTAGGTCTGTGGAACTGCAGACCTGCTGGGGCTTCAGGTATAGGCCATCTCTGACCAGAATGGGGACTGTTGCTTATAGGAGATGATGGTCCAGATGTTGCAGATGAAGAATCCCGTGGCCTGGAGGGGATGGCTGATACACCAGGTGAGGGTGTGTCCTGTCTTAGCTTTACCTCTTTCAGTCTGCTCTGCCACTGAGCACTGTCAGATTTGGAGACTGGAAACTTCATGCCCCATTGTGGTTCATGGTGGCCAGTGTGGTACCTTCATACCTCATGGCCTTGGCTGATGGGTTTCTTTTGGCAATTGCAGGACCTGAGGATGGGGGTGTAAAGGCATCCCCAGTGCCCAGTGACCCTGAGAAGCCAGGCACCCCAGGTGAAGGGATGCTTAGCTCTGACTTAGATAGGATTCCCACAGAAGGTGAGATTTACAAGGGTCTTCTTCATGTATAAGGGTCCTCCATTGGCAAAGGAGAGGGTCCTACCTGTGGGGCTGCTCTGTATAGGTTCTCTAGTGGAAAATCTGGTAGTGAGGAGCAAGGAAGGAGGTTATTCCCTTCCTGGGCATGAACATTTGTAGACCTGTGGTGTCACCTGTACCTCTCAGTCTTCCCAGCAGTGTCCTTTATCATTTTCTAACAGAACTACCCAAAATGGAGTCCAAGGACCTGCAACAGCTCTTCAAGGATGTCCTGGGTTCTGAACGAGAGCAGCATCTGGGCTGTGGAACCCCTGGCCTAGAAGGCAACCGTACACCGCTGCAGAGGCCCTTTCTCCAAGGTGATGCAGTGGGGGAAGTAGTTTGAAGACTGCCATAGCCAAGCTTGCCCCAGGCCAAGCTTTCTCTGATCCTGTCACTCTTATAGGTGGACTCCCTTTGGGCAATCTCCCTTCCAACAGCCCAATGGACTCCTACCCAGGCCTCTGCCAGTCTCCATTCCTAGATTCTAGGTTGGTATCTATGCTTAACCTCAGTGGGTAGTCACTGGTACCCTTTCCTTCCAGTAGGGCCTGTACTTTGCCTCCCTTGGATGCATAGGTCACTGTACTGACACTTCCCTGCTTGCCCCACTCCCTTGTTGGTGGCCCTCTGTTTGGGCAGGGCGGTGACCCGAGGCTCTTTGGGTGGGGCTTGGCATCCCTGCCCCCTGTGACTCTCTGCCCCTGCGCCCCAGGGAGCGCGGGGGCTTCTTTAGCCCAGAACCCGGTGAGCCAGACAGTCCCTGGACAGGCTCGGGGGGCACCACGCCCTCCACCCCCACCACCCCCACCACGGAGGGTGAGGGCGACGGGCTCTCCTATAACCAGCGGAGCCTGCAGCGCTGGGAGAAGGACGAGGAGTTGGGTCAGCTCTCTACCATCTCACCTGTGCTCTATGCCAACATTAACTTTCCTAATCTCAAGCAAGATTACCCAGGTACCTGTGGGATGAGGGCAAGGGAAACAACCTGGAAGTCTGGCAGGTAGAGTCTCCTCTGACTCAGTCTCTCTGCCTCCAGACTGGTCTAGCCGTTGCAAACAAATCATGAAGCTCTGGAGAAAGGTTCCAGCTGCTGACAAAGCCCCCTACCTGGTGAGACAGAGCATGGCCAGCCTGGGTACCAGGGTGGAGGGAGGTGTCTTCGGGACATTGAACTCAGTCCCATCTCCCACACCCTACTCCTCAAGGAGCTGGGCTAAGGGGACCAACTTCTGAGTGGGGAATGTGAGTGAAGTTTTGAGGACAGGCTGGCAGAGACTGAATGCTAGGCCCTGTGTTGTGTCTTATGTCCCTCAGCAAAAGGCCAAAGATAACCGGGCAGCTCACCGCATCAACAAGGTGCAGAAGGTGAGTAGGCCATCCATCAGTGTCCTATAGTGGTTGGCCCATCCAGGGTGGGGACAAGGGGCCTGTCTACAGCAGCCTGACTGCTCTGTGCCTGGTCTCCCCCTGTAGCAGGCTGAGAGTCAGATCAACAAGCAGACCAAGGTGGGCGACATAGCCCGTAAGACTGATCGACCAGCCCTCCATCTCCGCATTCCCCCCCAGCCAGGGGCACTGGGCAGTCCGCTCCCTGCTGCGGCCCCCACCATTTTCATTGGCAGTCCCACCACCCCCGCCGGCTTGTCTACCTCTGCGGATGGGTTCCTGAAGCCGCCAGCGGGCACAGTGCCCGGCCCCGACTCCCCCGGTGAGCTCTTCCTCAAGCTCCCACCCCAGGTGCCCGCCCAAGTGCCTTCGCAGGACCCCTTTGGACTGGCCCCAGCCTACGCCCAGGAGCCCCGCTTCCCTGCGGCACCACCCACCTACCCTCCCTATCCCAGTCCAACTGGGGCCCCTGTGCAGCCCCCTATGCTGGGTGCCTCATCTCGTCCTGGAACTGGCCAGCCGGGGGAATTTCACACCACTCCTCCTGGCACCCCCCGACACCAGCCCTCCACGCCTGACCCCTTCCTCAAGCCTCGCTGCCCCTCCCTGGACAATCTGGCTGTGCCTGAGAGCCCAGGGGTGGCGGGAGGCAAGGCTTCCGAGCCCCTGCTCTCACCACCAGCTTTCGGGGAGACCCGGAAGGCCTTGGAGGTGAAAAAGGAAGAGCTTGGGGCATCCTCTCCCAGCTATGGGCCCTCAAACCTAGGTTTTGTGGACTCACCCTCCTCAGGCCCCCACCTGGGTGGCCTGGAGTTAAAGGCACCTGATGTCTTCAAAGCTCCTTTGACCCCTCGGGCATCTCAGGTAGAGCCCCAGAGCCCAGGCCTGGGTCTTCGGCCCCAGGAACCACCCCCTGCCCAGGCTTTGGCCCCCTCTCCTCCCAGCCACCCAGACATCTTTCGTCCAGGTCCTTACCCTGACCCCTATGCCCAGCCCCCACTGACCCCTCGACCCCAGCCCCCACCCCCTGAGAGCTGCTGTGCCCTGCCGCCTCGCTCACTGCCCTCTGACCCTTTCTCCCGAGTTCCAGCCAGTCCTCAGTCCCAGTCCAGCTCCCAGTCCCCACTCACCCCCCGTCCTCTGTCTACTGAGGCTTTCTGCCCATCCCCTGTTACTCCTCGCTTCCAGTCCCCAGACCCCTATTCTCGCCCACCCTCACGCCCTCAGTCCCGAGACCCATTTGCTCCATTGCATAAGCCACCCCGACCCCAGCCCCCTGAAGTTGCCTTTAAGGCTGGGCCTCTAGCCCACACTCCACTGGGGGCTGGGGGCTTCCCAGCAGCCCTGCCCTCGGGGCCAGTGGGTGAGCTCCATGCCAAGGTCCCAAGTGGACAGCCCCCCAATTTTGCCCGCTCCCCTGGGACAGGTGCATTTGTGGGCACCCCCTCTCCCATGCGTTTTACTTTCCCCCAGGGTGTAGGGGAACCTTCCCTAAAGCCCCCTGTCCCTCAGCCTGGTCTCCCTCCACCCCATGGGATCAACAGCCATTTTGGGCCCAGCCCCACCTTGGGCAAGCCTCAAAGCACAAACTACTCAGCTGCTGGGAACTTCCACCCATCGGGCAGCCCCCTGGGGCCCAGCAGCGGATCCACAGGGGAGGGCTACGGGCTGTCCCCACTACGCCCCACATCAGTTCTGCCACCACCTGCACCCGATGGATCCCTTCCCTTCCTGTCCCATGGAGCCTCACAACGGGCAAGCATCACTTCTCCGGTTGAAAAGCGAGAAGATCCAGGGGCTGCAATGAGTAGCTCGTTGGCGGCACCTGAACTCCCAGGTACCCAGGACCCAGGCATGTCCAGCCTCAGTCAGACAGAACTGGAGAAGCAACGTCAGGTAGGTGATATCCTGGAATGGAGCCCCTGTCTCTCTGCTGTCTTCATGCTAGCCCCATGGTTGGAATAGAATGGCCTTACTCCTCTTCACTATTTTCTGCACAGCGCCAGCGACTCCGGGAGCTACTGATTCGGCAGCAGATCCAGCGCAACACCCTTCGGCAGGAGAAGGAGACAGCTGCGGCCGCTGCAGGTGCCCTGGGGCACCCGGGCAGCTGGGGGGCAGAGCCCAGCAGCCCTGCCTTTGAGCAGCTGAGTAGAGGCCAGACTCCTTTCACTGGGACGCAGGTAGGTAGAGTGGCAAGGGGTGTTGGGGCCAGGATACCAAAAGTGGCTCCACCTTCACTCACTTCTGTCTTCTAGGACAAGAGCAGCCTAGTGGGGTTACCCCCAAGCAAGCTAGGTGGCCCCATCTTGGGACCGGGCCCCTTCCCTAGTGATGACCGACTTGCCCGGCCACCTCCACCAGCCACGCCTTCCTCTATGGATGTGAATAGCCGGTGAGGCTCCAGGAAATTCCCTGGGAGTAAACCACGGGGGCAGATTTTATCACCATTATCTGCTGCCTTTGATTTTCCTCTCACTAATCCTCTGGTATCACTCTTCTTCCTCATTCTCCCTCCCTCACTGCTTTAATTCTGTCCTTCCTCACTTCCCCAAGCCCCTCTTTTAGCTCTCCAGCCTGACTATATCTCACTGACTACTGTGTGTTCTTCCAGGCAACTGGTAGGAGGCTCCCAGGCCTTCTATCAGCGAGTGCCCTATCCTGGATCCCTGCCCTTACAGCAGCAGCAACAGCAGCAACTATGGCAGCAGCAACAGCAGCAGCAACAGCAGCAGGCAACAGCAGCAACCTCCATGCGACTCACCATGTCTGCTCGCTTTCCTTCAACTGCTGGACCTGAACTTGGCCGCCAAGCACTAGGCTCCCCTTTGGCAGGAATTCCCACCCGCCTGCCAGGCCCTGCTGAGCCAGTGCCTGGCCCATCTGGTCCTGCCCAGTTCATTGAGTTGCGGCACAATGTTCAGAAAGGACTAGGACCTGGGGGGCCTCTGTTTCCTGGTCAGGGGCCCCCTCAGAGGGCCCGTTTTTTCCCTATAAGCGAGGATGCCCACCGGCTAGCTCCTGAAGGCCTTCGGGGCCTGGCAGTATCAGGCCTTCCCCCACAGAAACCCCCAGCCCCGCCTGCTCCTGAATTGAACAACAGCCTCCATCCAACATCCCACACCAAGGCTCCTACACTGACAGCTGGCTTAGATCTGGTCACCCGGCCCCCCTCCAGCACTGAGCTTGGCCGCCCCCCTGCCCTGGCCCTGGAAGCTGGGAAGTTACCCTGTGAGGATCCTGAGCTGGATGATGATTTTGACGCCCACAAGGCCCTAGAGGATGATGAAGAGCTTGCTCACCTAGGTCTGGGTGTGGATGTGGCCAAGGGTGATGATGAGCTGGGCACCCTGGAAAACCTGGAGACCAATGACCCCCACCTAGATGACCTGCTCAATGGAGATGAGTTTGACCTACTGGCGTACACTGACCCTGAGCTGGACACTGGGGACAAGAAGGACATCTTCAATGAGCACCTAAGGCTGGTGGAGTCAGCAAATGAGAAGGCTGAGCGGGAGGCCCTGCTTCGGGGGGTGGAACCAGGACCGTTGGGCCCTGAGGAGCGCCCTCCCCCTGCCACTGATGCCTCTGAGCCTCGCCTGGCATCTGTTCTCCCTGAGGTGAAGCCCAAGGTGGAGGAGGGTGGGCGCCACCCTTCCCCCTGCCAATTCACCATTACCACCCCCAAGGTAGAGCCAGGACCTGTGGCTACTTCCCTTGGCCTGGGGCTAAAACCAGGACAGAACGTGCTGGGCAGCCGGGACACCCGGATGGGCACAGGGCCATTTTCTGGTAGTGGGCACACAGCTGAGAAGGGGCCTTTTGGGGCCACAGGAGGACCACCAGCTCACCTGCTAACCCCCAGCCCACTGAGTGGCACAGGAGGATCTTCCCTGCTAGAGAAGTTTGAGCTAGAGAGTGGAGCCTTGACCTTGCCTAGTGGACATGGAGCATCTGGGGATGAGCTCGACAAGATGGAGAGCTCGCTAGTAGCCAGTGAGTTGCCCCTGCTTATTGAGGACCTGTTGGAACATGAGAAGAAGGAGCTACAGAAGAAACAGCAGCTTTCAGCCCAGCTCCAGCCTGCCCAACAGCAGCAACAGCAGCAGCCGCAGCCCCAGCAGCAACAGCAACAGCAACATTCCTTACTGTCCGCAGCAGGCCCTGCCCAGGCAATCCCTTTACCACATGAGGGCTCTTCTCCCAGTTTGGCTGGGCCCCAACAGCAACTTGCCCTGGGTCTTGGAGGTGCCCGACAGCCAGGTTTGGGCCAACCACTGATGTCCACCCAGCCACCAGCTCATGCCCTCCAGCAGCGCCTGGCCCCAACCATGGCCATGGTGTCCAACCAAGGGCATATGCTAAGTGGGCAACATGGGGGGCAGGCAGGCTTGGTGCCCCAGCAAAGCCCACAGCCAGTACTAGCACAGAAACCCATGGGCACCATGCCACCTTCTATGTGCATGAAGCCCCAGCAGCTAGCAATGCAGCAGCAGCTGGCCAACAGCTTCTTCCCAGATACAGGTAACCTCAGCTACTGGCATGGTTGAGTTACTCAGGGATGATTGATTTTACCACCAAACAGGCACTGAGGCTAGGGCCCTAAGATATGCCCTAATAAAGAGAGATAGGACACAGAGTTTTGGCTAAATAGTATAGTAGTGACGTAAGCAGAGGGCACTGTTGTTTTTATGATGGGAGGGAATAGTTCTTTGCATATAGGAAGCATTCAGATAGGTGAATTAATGAATGAAGTGAATGAAGCTTGATTAGCAAAGGTTTTGTAGCTGTGGTGAGGTTGAAAGTTCAGATCTCAGGTGTATAAGGAAAAGCAATCTGGATGAGTGAAAGATTGAGGCTATAGCGGTAGGGAAACCTGGGGTGGTATATTTGGAGAACAGTGAATGAAGTAGTGAGTGGGCACTGCCATAATTGTGGAGAGGTAAGAAGTAGGACCATATTGAGGATAACCTCAACTTACAGCACATTTATTGAGTAATTACTATTTGCCAGGCAGTATGCTGAGTGCTTTACAATCATTGTCATCACAGCAGACTCATTAAATAGGTACAATTATTGTGTTTGATTACAGAAGAGAAAACTAAGATATGGAAGTTAAGTATTTGTCTAAGATTACACAGCAGTTAGCAGAGGTAGAGCTGAACACTAGTACTTCACTGCCTCAGAATTCTAGAATGCATTTTGCTAGTCTTTTAGAAAGTGAGTCAGTTAAGCTCTCTGAACAGTGGAGATACATACATAATGCAGGATGTTAGAAAGATTTTGATGGTTGTTTAGTTCTCCTTTTTTTTACCCAACATCCTGGACTGACAGGACAGTGGGTTCTAGGTGGTATTCTTGTCTGTCCCTAATAGCTCTGACATCTGAAACTTTGCCATAGTACCCACATCTTGGACTCTTGAGTTGTGCTAGTTGCACTAAGGAGATTACTTTGAAGAATACTTTTTAGGTTATAAAATGTACCGATATTCTCGTTACATATGGTCCTCTGTAGCTCCAAGAGGTAGGCAGAGCAGGGGTGATCTTTATCAAATAGAAATAAACTGATGCTTAGAGAGGTGAAGTAAATTGATCTGCTGATGCAGCAAATATTTAGAGTCCTTTTTCCTGGGACTCTACAAGTAAAAGCAGGATCAAGTCCTCTGACTAACAGAGCTGTGTCACCAGGCTGCTTGGTTCCTAGCTCAGTGGTCTTTCTGCTGTGCCATGTCATTGTTTTGCATGGGTTAGTGGAGGTTAGGGTGTAGGAACAAAGAGCAGTCACATGGGTCATTTACCTCCCCCAAAGCCCAGCTCATTTAGCTCCTCCCTTTGTAGACCTGGACAAATTTGCTGCAGAAGATATCATTGATCCCATTGCAAAGGCCAAGATGGTGGCTTTGAAAGGCATCAAGAAAGTGATGGCTCAGGGGAGCATTGGGGTAGCACCTGGTATGAACAGGTAAGTCTTGGAGTTAGGATAGATAGGGTTGGCTCTTTTCTTTTCCAGTCATATCCCTTCCCTGTTTGACCTCCCTCACTACTTGACTCACTTTTTTGCCTTTTAACTTTGCCTTCACCAACACTTATTCCTTTATGCTTTGATGGACTCCAGGCAGCAAGTGTCACTGCTAGCCCAGAGGCTGTCTGGGGGATCTGGGGGTGATTTGCAGAACCATGTCGCACCTGGGAGTGGCCAGGTGAGTTTTTAGGGAGGAGTCTGAACTTGTATTATGCTGTTGGTCCACTTTTCTTAAGGCCTAGCATGGAACAATGACCCTTTAGCAGTCTCTTTCATCACAGGAGCGGAATGCCAGTGACCCTGCCCAGCCTCGCCCCAACCCACCCACTTTTGCCCAGGGAGTTATCAGTGAGTATGGGGCATAGGAGGAAGGTGCAAGGAAGTGGCTAGAGACCTATGGAGGGAAAGAGATCAGAGTTACCCTTTTGCAGGTTCTGACACCCTGCTTCCTCTCCCAGATGAGGCAGACCAACGGCAATATGAGGAGTGGCTATTTCACACTCAGCAGCTCCTGCAGATGCAATTGAAGGTGCTAGAGGAGCAGATTGGTGTGCATCGCAAGTCTCGGAAGGCTCTGTGTGCCAAGCAGCGCACTGCCAAAAAGGCAGGTCGTGAGTTCCCAGAAGCTGATGCCGAGAAGCTCAAGCTGGTTACAGAGCAGCAGAGCAAGATCCAGAAACAGTTGGATCAGGTGGGGAAAGCAAACTTCAGCTTATCACCCAGAAGCCAGGGATGAAGGATTGCATGGGTGGGCAGGCTCCTAGCTGACCTCTCTGACCCATCTAACTTAGGTTCGGAAACAGCAGAAGGAGCACACTAATCTCATGGCAGAATATCGAAACAAGCAGCAGCAACAGCAGCAACAGCAGCAACAGCAGCAGCAACAACACTCCGCTGTGCTGGCCCTCAGCCCTTCTCAGAGTCCCCGGCTACTCACCAAGCTCCCCGGGCAGCTGCTCCCTGGCCATGGGCTGCAGCCACCACAGGGTCCCCCGGGTGGGCAAACTGGAGGTCTTCGCCTGCCTCTTGGGGGTATGGCACTACCTGGACAGCCTGGTGGGCCTTTTCTTAACACAGCCCTGGCCCAGCAGCAGCAACAGCAGCATTCTGGTGGGGCTGGATCCTTAGCTGGCCCCTCAGGGGGCTTTTTCCCTGGCAACCTTGCTCTCCGAAGCCTTGGACCTGACTCGAGGCTTTTACAGGAAAGGCAGCTGCAGCTGCAGCAGCAACGCATGCAGCTGGCCCAGAAACTGCAGCAGCAACAGCAGCAACAGCAGCAGCAGCAACAGCAACAGCAGCAGCATCTTCTAGGACAGGTGGCAGTCCAACAGCAACAGCAGCAGGGTCCCAGTTTACAGGCAAACCAGGCTCTGGGTCCCAAACCCCAGGGGCTTCTGCCTCCCAACAGTCACCAGGGCCTTCTGGTCCAGCAGTTGTCCCCTCAGCCACCCCAGGGACCCCAGGGCATGCTGGGTCCTACCCAGGTGGCAGTGTTGCAGCAGCAGCACTCTGGAGCTCTGGGCTCCCAGGGCCCTCACAGACAGGTGCTTATGACCCAGTCCCGGGTGCTGAGTTCCCCCCAGCTGGCACAGCAGGGTCATGGCCTTATGGGACATCGACTGGTCACAGCCCAGCAACAACAGCAGCCACAACAGCACCAACAGCAGGGACCCATGGCAGGGCTTTCCCATCTTCAGCAGGGCCTGATGTCACACAGTGGGCAGCCCAAACTGAATGCTCAGACCCTGGGCTCGTTACAGCAGCAACAGCTCCAGCAGCAGCAACTTCAACAGCAGCAACAGCAGCTACAACAGCAGCAGCAGCAGCTACAACAGCAACAGCAGCAGCTTCAGCAGCAACCCCAGCAGCTTCAGCAACAGCAGCAGCTTCAGCAACAGCAGCACCTGCAACAACAGCAGCAGCTACAGCAGCAGCTTCTGCAGCAGCAGCAGCAACAGCAACAGCAGCAACAACAGCAGCAGCAGCAGCAGCAGCAACAGCAACAGCAACAGCAACAGCAGATGTGCCTCTTGAATCAGAGTCGAACTTTGTTATCTCCTCAGCAGCAACAGCAACAGCAGGTGACACTTGGCCCTGGCATGCCAGCCAAGCCTCTTCAACACTTTTCTAGCCCCGGAGCCCTGGGCCCAACCCTCCTTCTGACGGGCAAGGAACAAAACACTGTAGAGACGGCTCTTCCTTCAGAGGTCACTGAGGGGCCCTCAGCACATCAGGGAGGGCCATTAACAGTAGGTCCTGCATCTGAGTCAGTGGCTACGGAACCAGGGGAGGTAAAGCCCTCCCTCTCTGGGGACTCACAACTTCTGCTTGTCCAACCCCAGGCCCAGCCTCAGTCCAACTCTTTGCAGCTGCAGCCACCTTTGAGGCTCCCAGGACAACCACAGCAGCAAGTTAACTTACTCCACTCAGCAGGTGTAGGAAACCATGGGCAAATAGGCAGTGGATCATCTTCTGAGGCCTCATCTATGCCCCACCTGCTGGCCCAACCCCCTGTTTCCTTAGGGGAGCAGCCTGGGCCCATGACCCAGAATGTTCTGGGCCCCCAACAGCCCCTTGGGCTAGAGCGGCCTATGCAGAATAATGCAGGGGCACAGCCTCCCAAACCAGGACCTGTCCCCCAGTCTGGGCAGGGTCTACCTGGGGTTGGAGTCACGCCTACAGTGGGTCAGCTTCGAGCACAGCTCCAAGGAGTCCTGGCCAAAAACCCACAGCTGCGGCACTTGAGCCCTCAGCAGCAGCAGCAGCTACAGGCCCTCCTCTTGCAGCGGCAGCTGCAGCAGAGTCAGGCAGTACGCCAGACTCCACCCTACCAGGAGCCTGGAACCCAACCCACTCCCCTCCAGGGCCTCCTGGGCTGCCAACCTCAACCTGGGGGCTTCACTGGATCTCAGACAGGCCCTCTTCAGGAGCTGGGGGCAGGACCTCGACCTCAGGGCCCACTCCGGCTCTCTGCCCCACAAGGAGCCTTATCCACAGGACCAGGCGTTGGCCCTGTCCATCCCACACCTCCATCACCCAGTCCCCAAGAGCCAAAGAGACCTTCTTCACAATTACCTTCCCCCAGTGCCCAGCTCACCCACACCCATCCAGACACCCCAAAGCCCCAGGGGCCAACCTTGGAGCTGCCTCCTGGGAGGGTCTCACCTGCTGCTGCCCAGCTTTCGGATACCTTCTTTGGCAAGGGGCTGGGACCTTGGGACCCCCCAGACAACCTAGCAGAAGCCCAGAAGCCAGAGCAGTGCAGCCTGGTGCCTGGGCATCTGGAGCAGGTGAATGGACAGGTGGTACCTGAGCCACCCCAACTCAGCATCAAGCAGGAGCCTCGGGAAGAGCCATGTGCCCTGGGAGCCCAGGCGGTGAAGAGGGAGGCCAATGGGGAACCAGTAGGGGCATCAGGTACCAGCAACCACCTCCTGCTGGCAGGCCCCCGCTCAGAGGCTGGGCATCTGCTCTTGCAGAAGCTTCTACGCGCAAAGAATGTGCAACTCAGCGCTGGGCGGGGGCCTGAGGGGCTTCGAGCTGAGATCAACGGGCACATTGACAGCAAGCTGGCCGGGCTGGAGCAGAAACTACAGGGTACCCCCAACAACAAGGAGGTAAGTACTCTGGTTAGAGTGGATCAGACAGCATGGGTCCTGGAGGGCGGGAGCAGAGCAAACACGTCTGGGTCAGACAACGGGTGAGGTCTCTAAGGATGAGAGCAGCAGCCTTCACAGGGCTTATCTGGCTTAGGATGCAGCAGCAAGGAAGCCTTTGACACCAAAGCCCAAGCGGGTACAGAAGGCAAGCGACAGGTTGGTGAGCTCCCGAAAGAAGCTGCGGAAGGAGGACGGGGTCAGGGCCAACGAGGCCTTGCTGAAACAGCTGAAACAGGTGACCCCCAGGAGCCAGTCCCCTGGTCCCATCCCAGGATAGGGAGCACCCTGTCCCCCAGCCGTGCAATGACAGGTACAAACGCTGCAAGTTTCCAACTTGATCATCTTGCCCCTCTTAGGAGCTGTCCCTGCTGCCCTTGACGGAGCCTACCATCACCGCCAACTTTAGCCTCTTTGCTCCCTTTGGCAGTGGCTGCCAAATCAGTGGGCAGAGCCAGCTGAGAGGGGCCTTTGGAAGTGGGGCACTGCCCACTGGCCCTGACTACTACTCCCAGCTGCTTACCAAGGTCAGAAAAATGGCAGTATCTTTTGGGAATAATGAAGTTCTTAGGGAGGTGGAAACGGGTGGAAAACTGGAGGGAATTGCTGACTAGTGTGGGACCAGGAGATTACATAAGTGTCCCTATGCCATTTTGTACACAACACCCACCCCACCCCTCAGAATGACCTGAGTAACCCGCCGACACCACCCTCGTCGCTGCCCCCCACCCCGCCCCCGTCGGTGCAGCAGAAGATGGTGAATGGCGTGACTCCCTCCGAAGATCTGGGGGAGCACCCCAAGGATCCAGCCTCTGCCAGGGACACTGAAGGGCCATTGAGGGGTGGTAAGCGAAGAGGTGACTGCCTTTCCCAGTGGTATTCAGGGGCCTGGGTCCGAGCAGTTAGGGTAGCCTGCCTCACAGTGTAAGAAGCAAGTGGGTTGTATGCTACTGTGCCACTGCAGGACAGGCTGGCTGGGTGGGAAGGACCTCTTCAGGATCGATTTGCTGGGGACAAGGATGGGCTTCTGGAATCTGTTGCCAAAGCAATAGGGGAGCTTAGTTGCAGGGAGAATCTGAGCAAAGCTCTGTGTAGAACAAGCAGTCCAGCTTTCGTGAGTATAGCGCTACAGTCCGATCTAGATTTGAACTCTGGTACCTGTATATATTTAGCTGCATTACTTCAGACAAGTGATTTGATTGGCTTATGTGAGCCTCAGATTCCCCTCTTAAATTGGGTATTTAATATTCATCAGTGATTATAAACCCATGCCTATAAACCCGGCTACTAAGGAGGTTAAGGCAGAAGGATGGCAAGTTTCAGTCCAGCCTGGACAACTTAGTGAGGCCCTGTCTCAAAATAAGAAAAAGCCGGGCGTGGTGGTGCACACCTGTAATCCCAGCATTCAGGAGGCTGAGGCAGGAGGATTGCCACAAGTTCAAGACCAGCTTGGGCTACAAAGTCAGTTCATGGGAAGCCTGAACTGCTTAGTGAGACCTTGCCTCAAAAAATAAAAAATAAAAAAGATGGGAGATCACTCCCTAGATTTAGTCCCTAGCACTGAAGAAAAAAAAGAGAGTGGAAGAAAATTTAAAAATTGAGCTAGTGGAGTTGTTAAAAGATTATTTAAAAAGAATGTACCTAAATTCCAGTGTTTGGCATATGGAAAGGGTCAATAAATGTCTGCCCCAAATTCGGAGGTGAGTGGAATCATAATAGCTAAGCTGAGGTCTCATGCTAGTTGGGCCTGAAATTGTGGGGAGAAATCTCCATCTGCTTTGGCCATCTTCACCCTGACTTCTTCCTACCCGTCCCTTAGATGCTTCAGAGGTGAAGAGTCTAGACCTGCTGGCTGCCTTGCCCACACCCCCTCACAATCAGATTGAGGATGTCAGGTGAGGTGGGGCTGAAATTGGTGGTGGAGCATGGGAGTATGGGGCAGGTTGCCCTATTTTCTCTTGGCCAGTGGCAGATTTCGAGTAAGGGCGTGATACCTGGTGGTCTCTAGATTTGGGAGGGAGAATTCACTGAGCTATACCAATGATGTCTACCTTTGGCCCACAGGATGGAAAGTGATGAGGATAGTGACTCTCCTGACAGTATTGTACCAGCTTCATCCCCTGAGAGCATCCTGGGAGAGGAGGCCCCTCGTTTCCCTCACCTGGGTTCAGGCAGGGGGGAACAGGGTGACCGGGCCCTCTCTCCTGTCATCCCTATCATTCCTCGGGCCAGCATCCCAGGTATGTACTGCTCTGAGCACGGGCCAGGCCCAGCTTGGCTGCGTTGTCAGAAGCCAAGGGCAGGGATGGGTGGTGGAAGGAGGCAGCTGAGACTGCACAAGTTGCTCTTCTCTCTTGCAGTTTTCCCAGATACCAAACCATATGGGGGTCTGGACTTGGAAGTCCCTGGAAAGCTGCCTGCCACAGTTTGGGAGAAGGGCAAAGGGAGTGAGGTGTCAGTCATGCTGACCGTTTCTGCTGCTGCAGCCAAGGTATTTCCTGGGGGTGCCTCAAGGCGACAGAGACCCTGGTCAGGGGATAGTCACTCGATCACAGATGTGATTTTCAAAAACTACTCCTGAGTGCATGCTGTCTGTGAAAGCTGGGGCTAGAGGCTAGAGGTGGGAGAAAGGAAAAAATGTCTGTTGTTTTTGCATTAGCAGGGTTTTATGGTCAGAGAAAGTTGAAAAACCCAGTTAAAACAACAGTACTGAGCTGGGTGTGGTGGTGCACTCCTGGAATCCCAGCACTTGGGAGGCTGAGGCAGGAGGATCACCAGGAGTTCGAGGCCAGCCTGGGCTACATAGTGAGTTCAGGCTAGTCTGAACTACAAAGTGAGACCCTGTCTCAAAAAATAAAACAACAGTACCCATTTTGTTTCGTTTTGTTTTTTGACTGAGACCCCTCAGTCCTTTTAATTTACAAATGTAGAGTGAATCTCCTTGTGGGAACACTGGGCATCATTTGCTGAACTCAGTTTTTCTGTGCTTGTGGCGTTCCTGTGAGTGTCTGCAGCAGTCTGGAAATGGCTGCTGTGAAGGAGGTGTGTGAGAAGAGCTGGTGTAGCCTGGGTAGCACCTACCAACTCCCTGAGCAGGGGCTTCAGGCTGTCCTTGTCCCCACACAGCTGGAGATAAGTTCAGATACTCAGCTGACATGTCTCTCCCATCCCTTCACCTGCCTTGGCAGAACCTGAATGGTGTGATGGTGGCAGTGGCAGAACTGTTAAGCATGAAGATCCCCAACTCCTATGAGGTGCTGTTCCCAGAAAGCCCTGCCCGTGCAGGCATTGAGCCTAAGAAAGGGGAAGCTGAGGGCCCTGGTGAGTGGGGCAGGAAGGTGCCTTGGGATCAGAGGGCATGGGTCCTGGTGGGAGCTCTGAGCCCTTTCTTCTGCAGGTGGGAAAGAAAAGAATCTAAGCAGCAAGAGCTCAGACTCTGGCCCTGATTGGCTGAAACAGTTTGATGCAGTGTTGCCTGGCTATACCCTCAAGAGCCAGCTAGACATCTTGAGCCTCTTGAAACAGGTAGGCCTGGAGGAGAGAAAGGGTAGGTGTTAGGAGAAAAAGGTGCTGCCTAGGGTAAAGAAGGCAGAGGCTTTTTGAGGGAGTGTAATCTGGCTTGTAAGGGAGTGGGGAGTTGGCTGAGGAGATGGCACTAACAATCCTGGACACCCTCTCCTAGGAGAGCCCTGCCCCAGAGCTGCCCACCCAGCACAGCTACACCTACAACGTCTCCAATTTGGATGTGCGACAGCTCTCGGCCCCACCTCCGGAGGAACCCTCCCCACCCCCATCCCCCTTGGCACCCTCTCCTGCCAGCCCTCCTGCCGATCCCCTAGGTGAACTCCCCGTTGAACCCTTAGCTGAGCCACCAGTACCCTCACCCCTGCCACTGGCCTCATCCCCTGAGTCAGCTCGTCCCAAGCCCCGAGCCCGGGCCCCTGAAGAAAGTGAAGATTCCCGGCCTCCTCACCTCAAGAAGTGGAAGGGAGTGCGCTGGAAGCGGCTGAGGCTGCTGCTGACCATCCAGAAGGGCAGTGGGCACCAGGAGGATGAGCGGGAAGTGGCAGAGTTTATGGAGCAGCTTGGCACAGCCTTGCGACCTGACAAGGTGCCTCGAGATATGCGGCGCTGCTGCTTCTGTCATGAGGAGGGGGATGGGGCCACTGACGGCCCTGCCCGCCTGTTGAACCTGGACCTGGACCTGTGGGTGCACCTCAACTGTGCCCTGTGGTCCACGGAGGTGTATGAGACCCAGGGCGGGGCACTGATGAATGTGGAGGTTGCCTTGCACCGAGGACTGTTAACCAAGTGCTCCCTGTGCCAGCGAACGGGTGCCACCAGCAGCTGCAATCGTATGCGTTGCCCCAATGTCTACCATTTTGCCTGTGCTATCCGCGCCAAGTGTATGTTCTTCAAGGACAAGACCATGCTGTGTCCAATGCATAAGATCAAGGGGCCCTGTGAGCAAGAACTGAGTTCATTTGCTGTCTTCCGGCGGGTCTACATTGAGAGGGATGAAGTGAAACAGATTGCCAGCATCATCCAGCGGGGAGAACGGCTGCACATGTTCCGTGTGGGGGGCCTTGTGTTCCACGCCATTGGACAGCTGCTCCCTCACCAGATGGCTGACTTCCACAGTGCCACTGCCCTCTATCCTGTGGGCTACGAGGCCACACGCATCTACTGGAGCCTCCGTACCAACAACCGCCGATGCTGCTACCGCTGCTCCATTGGAGAGAACAATGGGCGGCCAGAGTTTGTCATCAAAGTCATGGAGCAGGGCCTGGAGGACTTGGTTTTCACTGATGCCTCTCCACAGGGTGAGTGAGCATTGGACCCTTGAATTGGTAACCTGAGCAAGTTTCTCCCCAGGGTCACTTTGTAACGTCAGTACCCTCCCTGTGAATAATCCTGCCGCACCTTAGGGTAGTCTCTTGAAAATCCTAGAGAAGCTGGATGAGGTGGTACATACCTATAATCCCAGCACTCAGAGAGGCTGAGGTAGGAAGATTGCAAGTTTGAGTCCAGCCTGAGCAACTTAATGACTTAGGGAGACCCTGTCACAAAAAATAAAAAAGGGCTGGGGATGTAGCTTGATGTGAAGGCCATGGATTCAGTCCCCAGTACTATGGGATGGGGGGGGGGCACTCAGGTAATATGTTTCACCCTCTCAGTTACCTTAAATTCCTTTGTAATTGAAAATATTTTGCTTGCGCCAGGCATGGTGGTACATGCTTGTAATCTCAGGACTTCGGAGGCTAAGGCAAGAGGATCGTGAATTTGAGGCCAGCCTGGGCTACGTAGCAAGTTCAAGGCCAGCTTGGACCATATAGTGAGACTCTGTCTCAAAACAATTTTTTCTTTTCTTGCTTGTCTGATTTCACATATTCTAGCTGATTTTCCTATCAGTGGAACTAAAAGATTCAGTTTAGAGACCCCATCATCTGGTGTACCCAACCTGATCATAACTTTCTTGTGTTTGTTTTTCTCTATATAAAATTCTCTTGATCTTGGTTTTTGTGTTAATATTAAAAATAACAAGAAGAGGCCAGGGATGTAGCTCAGTGGCATTGCACCTGCCTGGCAAGCACAAGGTCCTGAGTTCAATACCCAGTATTAAAAAAAACAAAAAACAAAAACAAGACCAGATAGTATTTATTGAACATTTAGTATGTAACCGAAAATTAAGTGATTTATATAGGTTATTTTGTTCATGCAACCCTATAAGTAGTATGATTATGCCCAATTTATACAGAAATTGAGTCTTCAGTGGCTCCACGCCTGCCTTGCAAGCACAGGTCCTGAGTTCGATCCCCAGTACCGGGGTTAAAAAAAAAAGAAAAAGAAATTGAGTCTTGCAGAGAGATTGAAGTATTTGCCTCAAGGTCCCATGCCCAGTGCTAGAACCCAAATCCAATCCTTCCCAACTGCAAAGTATACATGTTCTTTCAGCAAGCACTGTGACCTCTGCTGGGTCTCTGAGACCTGGGCTTGTTTGTCACAGGCTATGATTACCTTTCAGGTTGAAACCTGGCTTCGTGAAAGAGAATGGGACTAGGAAGCCAGGCAAGGGTTTTGAAGATCCACACACCTTCATGACAGGGTGGGGTAAAGACCATAGAAAACAACTGCATCTCAGGAATGGGGCTAAGGTGTGTAGGTCGATGATCAGAGGCTTCCACTAACGGCTACGTTTTGCTTTCTAGCTGTGTGGAATCACATCATTGAGCCAGTGGCTGCCATGAGAAAAGAGGCTGATATGCTGCGACTCTTCCCTGAGTACCTGAAGGGCGAGGAGCTCTTCGGGCTGACAGTGCATGCTGTGCTTCGCATAGCTGAATCAGTAAGCAAGGGGCTGGGAGCTGGAGGGCTAGGTGGGCACTGGAAACCTTGGCTGGGCCCCACAGGAGCTCAGGCTAAGGAGAGAACTGCCTGTGCCTGCAGCTGCCTGGGGTGGAGAGCTGTCAAAACTATTTATTCCGCTATGGGCGCCACCCCCTGATGGAACTGCCACTCATGATCAACCCCACTGGCTGTGCCCGATCAGAGCCCAAAATTCTCACACACTACAAACGGTGAGCTTGTGAAGCTGGGGCCATGGGCTGCGGTTATGGGTGTTGGTAGAGATCCGCTGGGCACCTTATGAGGGTTTGGGATACAGATCAGAGTTCCTTCCAAAAAACCAGGGGTTCACTCAGACCTGTTTAGAGGGTGTGCAGGTATCACTGAGGTATCCCTTTCCTCCTCTGCAGTCTGTTCAGGTATATGGGGTTGACCAGGGCTGTAGGACAGAGTTGTCTTGGGCACCCTGGGAATGGCTACTGGGGAAAGTCTGGGTAGACAGGCTATGGGTGAAATTTTATGAACTATGTAAGTGGCCCGGTCACTTCTGTGTTGCTTCCAGGGGGGCCTGTGATTCTCCCAAACCTCAGATACCCTATGAGTGCTAGGGTCACCTTCCCTTCCCGAGGCTGAGTTGGTGTCAAAAATAAATAATTAGAAATATAATAGGAAAATAATAAAACCTTACATTTGTATAGCACTTTATACTTTTTTTTTCAAAGCGTTTTCACATCCATTATCTCATTTGATCCTCACAACAACCTTATGAGGTAGGTAGGGCAGGTGGTATGACCCCCATTTCACAGCTGAGAAAACTGAGGCACAGAAAGCCTACGTGACTAGACAAAGGTCACATAGCTGGGACCGGACCCTTACCTCTTGACTTGTGGGTCACTGTTCTTTCTGTGGACCACAGTAGCCTGACCTTGGGTAGAGGGAGGCAGAATCCATGGTAGCAGGGATTTCTTGAAGGCCTGTGGTAGCTCCTAGGCTGCTGCCGTAGAGCGTCAGAGACTACCCCTAGTCAGCCCTAGTCCTTGATGCTCTACAACAGTGGTTTTCAAACTGTGAGTCCATGCGTTCCAAAAGACCTGAACACATAAACTGAGGGGCAGAACTTAGCCCTCCCCATGCTTAATTCCATCTTCCCCATATTGGATTCTACCAGAATTCCTTTTTCACATAGCTTATGGATTGGAGTTCAGTCAACATTTTGTCAAAGAAAAAAAAAATGTTAAATGAAGAACCCAAACGTTTGAAAACCACTGCTCTGGGATGGGCAAGAATTTGACTGATGCCCTAGGGTGGTAAAAGGCATCCCGCCAGGCAGCAGTCATTCCCCTGCACTGAGCCATCTGCGCAGAGGCCGATCTTATGTCAGAGAATGGGACAGTCTGAAGAAAGGCAAGGATATCACCTTTAGGCTGTGAATTCACAGCCGATTTTAATTCAAATCCAGCCCACTGTGGTAGACACAGCTCCTGTTTTCAGGGCATCCAGTATGTGCAGGACGTAGGACTCAGACATTTGAGCAAACCATCAGCTTAAATTGTAGGCCTAGGCTGCTTGGGGGAAGACCTCCCAGAGGAGCATGGCCTTTTGTATGGTTTGGCAGGAGGCTGGGAGAAAGGAGATGGGAGAGCAGGCTCAGTGTAGGGGAATCGGTGCCCCCCTTCCCTCCATATTTGCCCTCCCATCCTGGCCTGTCTGCCACCCAGAGTGTCAGAAGGGTCCCCATAGATAGTTGCTGCCTCTCCAGAGTTGAGACCCAGGTGCCTCCACTCTACTCCTGAAGCAGCACTTCCAGTGCTTGCTGGCAGTATATGCCCCTAAATGGCATATTGCACATCCCGGGGAGGAGGTGGGTGGTGCTTGTTATGAGGGCGAGCTGCCTTGTCATGGACTGTATCACCTCCCAGGCCCCATACCCTGAACAGCACCAGCATGTCTAAGGCATATCAGAGCACCTTCACAGGCGAAACCAACACCCCGTACAGCAAGCAGTTTGTGCACTCCAAGTCATCTCAGTACCGGCGCCTGCGTACCGAGTGGAAGAACAACGTGTATCTGGCTCGCTCCCGTATCCAGGGCCTGGGGCTCTATGCAGCCAAGGACCTAGAAAAGCACACAATGGTCATCGAGTACATTGGCACCATTATTCGTAATGAGGTGGCCAATAGGCGGGAGAAAATCTATGAGGAGCAGGTATGGGCTGGCCGAGGTCCATTGTGGTGCGTGGTCCACACTCAGCCAAGGAACAAGGGGCAATTTTGGGTCTAGAGGGGCAGACGGCTGGGGGAGGGAGGTGTGCCATATAAGCCCAAAGCTTAAGTCTGGTGTCTGATACTCTTGTCCCTTTTTGTGCAACCTCTGCCTTTCTAGAACCGAGGCATTTACATGTTCCGAATAAACAATGAACATGTGATTGATGCTACATTGACCGGAGGCCCTGCTAGGTAAGAGAGAAAGGAGTGATTTAAGGTCCTTGTGGGTGGCCCTCTGGGCATAGGCCAACAAAAAAGTAAAATTGTCTCCACCCATTTGCTTGGCATTACTGCTTATCTCACTTCCCAGGTACATTAACCATTCCTGTGCCCCTAACTGTGTGGCGGAAGTTGTGACATTTGACAAGGAGGACAAAATCATCATCATCTCCAGCCGGCGAATCCCCAAAGGAGAGGAGGTAAGAGGAAACATCTGCGAGAGTAACAAAACCACTCCTCCTTCTTACCTCCTTCTCTGCCATTCATTCCCCAGGAGCTGAGTTTTGATGCCAGTACTCATAGATCAGCCTGTGCCCCTCTCCTCTGGGGGCAAGTTTTGATTGTGCCTTCTTTTCTTTCCAGCTGACCTATGACTATCAGTTTGATTTTGAGGATGATCAGCACAAGATCCCCTGTCACTGTGGAGCCTGGAATTGTCGGAAATGGATGAACTAAGAAGCTTTGAGGCTACCAGGCAGGGGAGTCCCCCCACCCCCGACCTCTTCCCTGAAAGGGATGAGGGGGAAGAGAGGTAGCAGCCAGAGCCAGGACCCAGGGCTGGGGCTGCCGGCTGACCGGAGCCCCTGGAGCAAGAGGCTGGGCTAGAGGGCCCTAGGCCAAGCCCACCCTGGGCACCAGGGACAACCCTCTTCCCCGCCACCGGCCCTCAGGCTGGCATCTCTGCCCCTAGCTCCAGGAGGGGCTAGATAGAAGCAGCCATTGGGCATCTCAGGTTTGAGGGGGATATGGGCCGGGAACTACCCAGAAGGACCTGGGAGGCAGCAGGGAGGGAGGAGGATGTGTGGCTGGGCCTCACAGCCCTGCTGCTTCCACCGACCTCTCTGGCCCAATTCAAGGCTGCAAAGAGACTTGACTAAGCTTGACAATCCCAAAGGCCGGGTCCCACACCTGGCCCTGCCTGCCGGGTCCTGCCCCCATCCTCACCCCCATCCCTTTCAATCTGTCTCTGTCTCCCTCTTCTCCTCTGTGTTTCTTTCTCTCTATGGGTTGTGTTTCCTTGTTTTCCACTCTGACAAATGCAACATGAACGGGAAAGAGGCATCAAGCTGCCCAGGAGGGCAAGCTGGGCAAGCCGGGCAAGGAGACCCCGCACCCACACCTACCTCATTTAAGTGTTGGATTTTTTGCTGTTTTGAAATGTGAGACCCTCTCCAAGCCCCCTACTGCCCCAACCCTCTCCCGCACCTCACTGCCCTCTTCTGAGTGGGTAGAGCGGGGTAGGAGGAGGAAGAAAAAACAACAACAAAAAATCCATCTTTGTTTTTAATTATGGGCATGGGATGGTGGTTGAAGCAAATGGTGATGAAGATTGGGGATGACTGGCCCCTGGTTTCTCTAGAACTTCCTTCTCCATCTGGACATGGGGGCAGGAGGTGTGTGCTATACCTAGGACCAGGATATCTCCCTCCTGTTTTCCCAACCTCATCATGAGCCCATTTGCCCTCCAGCCCCTGGATGGGGTGGGTGGGGGGTGGGTGAGGGCTGTCCCTGAGTGGCATGCCCATACCCAGTGAGGCAGGGTGTGGCCCGGAGCTCCCACTTTCCCTCAGTCACCAAACTGCTGCTGGTCTGGTGGGAAGGGGTGGTGATGTGGGGATGGGGAGCTTAGTGTCAGCGCGGGGAGGGTGGGGGGTATTTATCTATTTATACATGGGATTGTACATAGTCTTGTGGGGCATGGGGGAGCCGGCTGGAGGTGAGAACCCTCCCCTCTCCCCCTACCCCCTGGGGAGAGCAAATGTAAAACTACTAATTTTTGTGCTTTATATATTCTATATAAATATATCTATTTTCTTTTTACAAAACCAGTTTATAAATGGTAGGGGGGTGTGGGGTGGACACATGGAACTCCCCTTGTGGGGGAGCCCCCTCCATTACCCAACCTACCGCCCTTTTCCTCACCCCGCACTCCCCACCCCTAGCTATGACTGCTGTAAGGTCGGGGTATAGAGAGAGGCTGGGCAATTCCCACCCTGTTGTATAGTTGGACTATGTTATAACGCACAAAAGTGAGCTGGCCCCAGGGGGAGCCAGAGGGTGATGGGTTTCCTGCCTTCTTTTCCTTCCCCTTTCTGCCCAAGCTTGTGCTGCAGTTGAACCTCTTCCTGGGGGTAGGAGTAGGTAGGGGGTGGGTGAGGTCCCAGACCCTTCTCTCTTCTCTGGTAGGGAGCCATGGGGATGAAGATGAAGCTTATATGCAGTTCTCTCCTAGGGGCTGTGGGCAAAGGGCATTTTGTAATTAATATTTTCAAGAATCAGATGTCTGGAGTGTAGGGGTGGGCTTGGTGGTGGCGAATGGGCAGGCCTGCTGAAGGGGGAGCACGGTCGCTGTTGTGATTTTAGGTTTGTTTTTGTTTTGTTTTGAATTTGGGGGATTTTGGATTGATGGGGGTAGGGAGTTTTTTGTTTTTTGTTTTTTTTAAGCTGCTTCCTCAACTGTTCAAGCTGCAAATGTTTAAGACAGTAACACCCCTACTCCTGCAGGAACCACTGTAATTAGATCAGACAGTAGGGAGACTGGGCTGCTGCCCCCAAAGCCACAGCCCTTGGATGGTCCTTTTCCAAGAGCCAAAAGGTCTAGGCTACAGCGAGGGGAGATTGGCTCCTGTGAGTCAGGCTCTGGTTGGGGCTTGGGCCCTGGGATTGGGAAAGGAACGGGGCAGACTTTGTAAGCATATGCTAGATATCCGATAGTCCTGTAGAATTTAGTGAAGAAACCTTATACAGTTTTTAATTTTTATATAAACTATAACTCAGATCCAAGCTACAAGGTTGGAATTTTGGTTGTTGGTTTTTTTTTTTTTTTTTAAGTACCCTGCCTGTATAATTGCATCAGAACCCCGCCCCCCCCCGTGTTTGTATTTTGGGTTGGTTTACACTTGCACATATTCAATTTTCAGTTTTTCCCCTTTACAGTCTTCTACCCTCACCTCCAGGACCCTCCCCCTTTTTAAAAAAATAAATCGCTGACAAGTGTGAATCCCGTGAAGACTTTATTTTGTGTTGTGTGTATCCTGTACAGCAAGGTTGGTCCTTCGTAACAACGGATGAAATGGTTCCCTTTTTTAAAACGCCCTCTCACCCCCCAACCCCCGTCCTTGGCATGTTTTGTATCAGCGATCATTCTGAACTGTACATAATTTATGTTTCGAGAGGCAAAGGGCAAGTTTTGGATTTTGCTTCTTCCAAGTTTGTTTTTAAACAACAAATAAAAAAAAGAACATTTTAAATACAAGCGGCTCCGTCCCGTGACCCTCGCCGTCAGCAGGACCCGTGAGGTCCGCGAGCACTCAGGGGAGGGCCGGTCCATCGCCGGAAGGGTGGGTTCCCCGCCTTCCGCCCTGGGGCTGTGTCATGACGTAGACGGAAATGGCGTCTCACTACCGGATGTGGGGCGGGGTCTGCTCCCGAGCTTCCTGAAACGGAGGAACAGAGTCGGCCCCTCTTGCGATGGAGACGGTGAGGAGCACAGGAGGGCGGCGGGGGGCGCTGTGGAGCCTGAGACCCCCAATTCTGAGACGGGGAGGGCCGGACAGAGGCTGGTGCTGCTATTTAGCTAATGAGAAGCTTCCGGGTGTCCGTCCTGTCCCGAGACTGCCCCTCCGCCCCTTCACTGGGCGCAGGTCCTAGGACTGGGCCCCGCCTGTGCATGAGTTCAGCGGTACTCTCGGCCCGAGCGAACAGTGATTTCTGGCTTTCTCCCCGGAGTCCACCTACCCCATGGCAATCTCGGGCTTCCTTTCCTCTTAGCGCTCGAGGCTTCGCTCACGTTTGCATGATGGAGGACAGTAGTGATCCGGCTTTACTGGGTGAGGGGACACCCCACCTCCACCCCCGCTTATAGGTGGTTTGACTGTGATTCCTGCAATTCCTGGCGGAAGGGACATCTGAGAAGTCTTTAATTGCATCAAGACAGGTCATATTCCTTTTGTCCGACTGAGGATTGAAGTTTCTGTGAAGCAGGGAATATTTTAGCGTTAGAGCCCCCAGTGTTCCTTGGACAAGTTTAGGTCATGTCCTCTTCTGCTTAGGCAGGCGAGCAAGTCATTCTTGGCGAGCAGGCATTGACCAATTGTGGCAAGTCCTTGTCACCTTCCCACAGATGCTGCAGGTTGCCTGCTGCATGTTTAGACCCACCTCACTCTCAGGAGCCTTCTTTCTGGAATCTTTCCCATCCACTTGTGGCTCCACAGTTTTTAACCATGAATCCTCTCTCAGACAGAGTAACTCTTCCCAGCTTGGTTTTTATCATCTACTATTGTAATTATATGAGGACTGAAAGTTCACTTTTCTTTGGATCACTTAGTTATATGCCCAGAGTAATTCTTTTTTTTTTTTTTTTTGGTACCGGGGATCCAACTCAGGACCCTGCGCTTGCAAGGCAGGCGGCAGAACCACTGAGCTAAATCCCCAGCCAGAGTAATTCTTTCTCATACCCTTTCTCAGCCTGCAGAGATGTGGTGTTCCTTAGATTACAAGACAGACCAAAGTGGTAAAGTGGTATGCAATCAATCACTCAGACAATGGAATCAGTTTCTACAGAGTGAGAGAATTTTGACCAAGAATAATAGTCTGATTCCATGAATTGTATCATTTTTACTTGTATTATGGTTTTTGAAGAATTTTTACAATTTAGTCCTTATTTCTACATACTGGATTAGGTTCAAAAAAGAAGAAAAGGAAAACGTCCAATTTGAAAGTGCTAGGCCTAATTGGAGTGAGGTGAGGGCAAGCCAGAGATAGCTGTTCCTTAAGATAAACTGTGATGAGGCAACCCACTTTCCGGTCCCCCTTCTGTCTCAGAAGCTTTCTGTCTCTCAATAAATTTTTCCTACTCTTAAAAAAAAAAAATTAAAAATTAAAAAAAAAGATAAACTGTGATAAGTGCTGTCATCAAGATACAAACAAGGACCTGAAAGCATAGGAGAGGGAGAAACTACAGTGGATATATGAGAGGTCTTTGCAGATTGAGAAAGAGAATAGAAATTGGGGTGTACAGAGAATAATTGAGGAATGAGCCAATTCGGGGGTGGCTTGATGTTACTAGAGCTTTAGATTTGGGTTATGATAAAAGAAAACACTAGAAAAGTAGGTTAAGAATAGGTTGGAGATATTGCATACCAGACTGTTTTAACTTTGTTTTGTAATAAGGGGACACAGCAAAGGTTTCTGACCAAGGCAGTGAGTATGCTTTGGGAATGTTCTTACAAGATTTTCTGTCGATGAACTGAGCCACTGCAGAAAATAGTGTTCCTAGTTGCTGGAGATGAAAATCCCTTCCAAACTGAAGGTGCTTTGGTGAGAGAACTTGGTGAAACACAAAAGGTTAATTGAAGAGAAGATAAGAGTTGGGGTAGGGAGCTCAGTTTACAGAATGCTATGGAAGTGAGAGGTGAAAGCCTAAGGTTGTGAAAATGAGGAGAGAGAGATTTGAGGCATATCCAACAGCTTAGTGCCTCAAGACCTCCTTGTTAAGGAGAATAGAGGAGTTGACTACTGTTCTAGGTACCTGAGAAGATAGCGATGCAGCAAAAATAAGAAAGGGAATAATGGTAAGAATAATAGGGCTGGATATGGTAGCACATGCCTGTGATCCCAGCACTTGGGAAGTTAAGGCAGGAGAATCACTGAGTTCAAGGCCAGCCTGAACTGTGTAGCATACCAGTCTCAAAGAAAGGGAAAAGAATAATAGGATTTGAATTGGGTTTGGTGGCACATGCCTATAATCCCAGCACTTGAGCCATGAGTTTGAGGCCAGCCTAAGCTACATAGTGATTTCAAGACCAGCCTGAACTACCCTGTGTCAAAAAAAACAAAAGGGCCGAAGATTTAGCTCAGTGGTTCCACCTGCCTTGCAAGCACAAGATTCCGAGTTCCATCCCCGGAACCAAACAAAAAACAAAAGAATAATAGGATTTAGGGCCAGGGGTTTAGCTCAGTGGTTTCGCTGCATGCAAGGACCCGAATTGGATCCCCGGTACCAAAAAAAAAAAAAAAAAAAAAGATAATAGGATTTGAAGAACAAATATTCTGTTTTATAGTAAAACATTTTGAGGAATCACTGTGATATCTGTGATTGCCAAACAATTGAAAATGTGGATCCTGAGTTTGGAAGAAATAGACACAGTTTGTGTCTATTAATATTTTGTACTTTTATAGTACAGTACCTTCTCAGTGCCCTAAGTTATTAACAGTAGAAAGGGGGGCCAAGGATTTAGCTCAGTGGTTTCACCGCCTGCTGTGCAAGCGCAAGGACCCGAGTTCGATCCCTGGTACCAAAAAAAAAAAAAAAAAAGTAGAAAGGGGTGGTCATAATTTCCACTTTTGTGCAGAGAAACAGGCAGATAAAATCACTCAATTGTGTCTGACTCTTGTATTGATAACTGTACCTCTATTTAGCTATATGTCTCTCTTCTCTAAAACGTAGTTTAGGTGTCCCTGTTCACATCAGTGTGCATCATTATTAAGGAATTTAAAAAATAATTGTGAATTATATACAACATTCCATGCTAGCTGGCAGGGGATATAAAGTAGAAGATAGTTATAGGTTCTAGAAATTTATAATCTGTTTAGATAGATAATGAACAAAATAACTAGCACAGTGTGGTATGTACGTATCATATGATGAGTGCTGTAATTTCTAGAAGTAGCTGTTTCTGTATTTTATATAGATTTTTGTGAGGCTATGGTATACCATGTGTGTATTTACCATGAAACAGCTCTCTTGCTTTTAAGTAATGAGGCTGTTTTCCAATAGCCTTGCCAAAAATGCCAGACCAAGCTGATAGTCTTAGCAGCCCAAGAGAAGGGAGAGAGGTAATCCACTCCCTGCTGCATTAGGGGAGGAAAGTTTAGAGCTATCCTGCCAACTTGACCCTGCCTGCCAGCCAACTTCCTAGGTTCAAGACAAGGCCTTTAACTGGATGTTACCACAGAAGTGGTACGGAAGTGAAGCATGACTTTAAGTTTGTTTAGGGTTATTACCCAGAATAAATGGAGCCAAAACTGTTGATGCCAGAGGATGAAAATTTTCATGATCCCTCCTGGGTTCCTTTTTTTTTTGGTACTGGGGATCAAACTCAGGTCGTTGTGCTTGTGGGGCAGGTGGCGGAACCACTGAGCTAAATCCCCAGCCCATGGGTTCCTAGTTAACAATGAAATTTCCAGATATTCTCACTTGAGGGAACAGAAATGGTTCTGAAAGTTTGTCTGTAATAAGAGCACTTTTCTTGAGGCCAGCCTGGGCTACATAGTGAGACCCTGTCTCAAGAAAAAAACAAAAACAACAAAACAAACAAAGCACCTTCTAATGTCAGACTGTCTTGGGAAAGGAAACTTGATAATTCAGCATCCCTGTTTGACTGACAAGGGTGCTGAGAGGACTCAAGTCTGCCATTTCAGAATGTTCATATTCTTTACCCATTTCGCATTCCAGCCTTGGCTCTCTGGCGTACAGTCAGCTACTGAGATCTCGCCAAAT